TTAGGTGGCGATTCGATGATTTTGTTTCTATCTGGGGGGTTCCTTACTGCTCCAACTCAACTCCATTACTGGTTGGTGGTTTCAAGCCCTCCAAAAAATATGAAAATCAGTTGGGATTATTGTTCCCAATGTATGGAAAAAATAAAGGCCATGTTCCAAACCACCAACCAGATTAATATGTGGGACCCAAAAATTGGCCCTTAAATTCTGAACGTTCCACCATGACTTTGGAGTGTCCGGTCTCCATGGTCTTCCCAGCTCCATGGCTAGTCGGAAGTGGCCGCTTGGCCGCCGGAACTTTGCCGGTTGCCAAAGCTGCTCATGCCAAGGCGTAGGCCTCCGAGCCATGGGATGTTTCCACTGGGAACAATTGGATATGTGATAGGGTCAAAACATGGTCTCTGGTTTATGGTCACCCATCCCACAGTGGGAATCCTTTAAAACATTTTAAAACTTTATCATTGGCACTAAAGACAAACTCCCTGTTCATCGATTGATGACGATCCCCCGACATGGGAAACTCACCCATGTTGTGACTGTGACACGTATGGGGATGTTTGGAAAAATGGTGGAGGTGAACTATGGAATAATTCCTCTAAGCACGTGGTGAAATATGTTGGGATTACTGGCAATGGATTGCACTGGCTGGAAAATACCCACTGAACGTCCCTTGTTTGGACATTCTTGACAATAATCGAGGATTTTTCAGCCATCCATGTTCGATCCCTGCAGGGTATGTAGTTTTCAGCTCCATGGCTAGACCAAACTTCTCGAAATCAGCGTGCTCTCACTCGGCCACATTCACCCACACACACACACAACCACCCAACCAACCACCTACCCTGCACCTTTTGCCTTTAAAGTGAATGCGTTCCCATGTTTTCCTGCATGAGCCATGAAAAATACCTCTATCCCATCCGATGAAATACTGGTAGGTTAATAGGTATGTATCCGGTTCATAATGGATTATAGCAATATAATATAGTCTAATCAAATAAACCAGGTTGACCGCCCATTGGTTCATAAACCAATCAACCATCATTTATTTATCAATATCAATCACATGCCTATGTTTTCCTCATTGAGTCCTATATTTGCTGCTAAAATTGTAACATTTGATCAACATGGCTATGAACAAATGGCTCACATGAACTCCTACCCATAAATTTTGCTGGATACATTCCCTTTTCCAAATCTGTTGGTGGTTAAAAAACATATACATACTGTGATATTATTTATATTAAACTATATATAGTATATATATATTATCATTAATTTACATTATATATATATATTATGTATATATAGTATACATCTTTGGTGGATTAAAACTATTAGTCAATCTCCCAGTATTTCCATTCACATTTTCCCCCAGTAAACCTTGGCCGTTGAAAAAATCTTGCCACGGCCCCGGCGGCCCCGGCCTTGGGAGGCGAATGGGACTTGGCGTCCATGCCCATGTCCTCCGTTGCTTCGTCGATGCGCAGACCACCCCACCACTTGAGCCAGGCGAAGGTCAGGCCGCTGATGAGGCCCGACCACAGGATGATCTCGGACAAGGATTCATGAGGAATTCATGAGGAATTCATGAGGATTTCACAAGGATTACCCTCTGGTATATTAACATAGACCCTGGCAGTCATCGGGGTTGGAAGACTAGTTTCCATTCAAAATGGGTGATTTTCAGGGTCCAACTGTTAATTTACCAGGGGGTATATAATGGGATGTTATGTTGCATGATTTTGCCGAGGAAACATAGTGACTGAAGTAACACATATTTGATTGAATGGGGATACTTAATGGTGGTTTGACCAAGAAACATGGGATTGTGCTGGGAATTAAGCAACAAACAAATGGGAGGACATGTAATCTATTGATAATGGGTAGTTTTGTTGGAATGAAACCAACAATACTGGGATAACATGCGATATCCACAATATGTACATAATGTATATATATAGATAGATACATGTATATTATCTATCTATACATATATATGTGTACATGTGTATTGTATATAAACATGTATATTGTATATATATATATTTATGCATATTGCATGTGTATGTAAATATATATAGTATACACAAAATATTTTAATATACACAATATATATATATATCATATATATATGATATATATATATATGATATATATATGATATATATTATATATATGATATATATATATCATATATATATGATATATATCATATATATATATATATCATATATATATATTATATATATTGATATATATATATATATGATATATATATGATATATATCCTTTATATATATATATCATATATATATATATATCATATACATATATCATATTTATATATATATGATATATATATATATATCATATCATATATATATCATATCATATATATATATATCATATCATATATATATCATATCATATATATATATATCATATATATATCACATATATATATATATGTACAGTACATTGTATACATATAGTGTGTATATATATAGTATCATTATATATAGTATCATATATGGCATTATCATATATATATATTCGTATAGGGGATGTGACTTTGACAACATCCCATTAGTTAAAAATTACTCCAGGATGCTCAGCCCAGGGACGCAAAGACACCTCAGCAGTTCGGGCCGATAGCATCTGGTAATTTATATAGGTGTGGAGAATCGACATGTTTAATGGGTACATATAGGTAAATGTAGGTAAATAGAGGTCATATAGGTAAATATGGGTAAATGTAGGTAAATGAAGGTAAACATGGGTGTGTGTGTATATATATAATTATGTGTATATATATATATATGTAGGTAAATCATCCATAAATGGATCATGGCTTCCATTGTTATGTCAGTTTTCTGGAGGGTAGCCATCTTAAAGAAAAAATAGGAATACCCTCCGGTGTCATCAAACGTGGCTAGCTGGAAAATCTACCATTTAGTTCGAGGATTTTTTCCCAGCGAACTAAACCTCCCTTTTATACGGGATGTCCCATTGGCACGTTTGATTGCCTGAAGGTATACCCAAAATAGGCATCTTAATGAGAAAGTGATGATAACTTCGAAGAAGTGTGAAATTTGGTGATACCCTCCCCTCAACCAACATAGACACTGCCATTGCCCTGCCATCAGTCGAGGGTTGGAAAGTGGGGGTCCACTCAAAACTGACTGTTTTCAGAGTTTATGTGAATTTACCCTTTAGGGTAGATCGTAGGATAATTACAGTCAAGAATCATCGGACAATGTATTTACTATCAAACATAGCAACTGGAAATTCCCATAGCAAGTTCTGTGATTTTTCCGAACTAAACCTCCATTTTGATCGGGGATGTCCCATGGTTTTCCTATGGTTGTCCTCATGGTGTTCCCATGAAAACCCTCCAAAGTTCCAGGATGTTCCAGATTGAGGTGACCAGAGTTTTCAACACCCGTCGCGGTTATTTAACATAGCTGTGGACAATGGCCCATTTATAGATGATTTCTGCTTATGCAGCGGAAAAAGTAGCAACTCACACTTGGGCTCTACCCTTTTATCTACGCTGAACGAAGTCGAAAACGGCTGCAGATGAAACAAGTCAAGGTGAACCAAACTACAACTAACTAGGGGTCAGGTTCCAGCACGCCTCCCGACTGATGAACTGTTGTCACATCAGGAGTACTGGAGACACTAAAAAGGTGGCTCAAGCCGTTCTACACAGCGAAGGCGATCTTCGATCTACCTGCCACATACCTGAATCCCATCAGGTCCATCATTTGAACCATCAAAGTCGCAGTCACAGGTTTGGTGAGTATGTCTGCCAAGTTCTCAGACGTATGCTTCTTGGTGAGCTTGATCAACCCATTGGTCACATAGTTCTGGATCCACAGGAATGCAGTGTGAACATGTTTCACACGCCCCAATCCTCGACGGGAACTCATCGCAGCTCCTGCCGTCGCATCGAAGATGAGATTGATTGACAATCGAACGTCCCATTCACTTGCGATGGACTGCTCACACAGAGCTTCCGATGCTGAAGTAACCAAGGCATAGAATTCAGCCTCTCCTGATGAGAGCGCTACCACGGCTTGACCGCGGCACACTGATTTCAGCAGGTTGCATCCTGCCATGATCACACATCCCGATGTTGATTTCCTGGTGCGTATGCATCCGGCATGATCCGAATCGCTGTAAACATCCAGTCGAGTCAGGATGCGTTGACGACGAAACATTTGGATCACTCGAGGTGAGTGTAGGAGGTACCGGCTGCACCTTTTGAGCAACTCCATGTGCCTCTCCGTAGGCGCTGACATGCCCTTTGCCAGTTCTCTCGTCACTCGTTGCAAATCTGTCCGGTCCTGGGATATATATCCAATCCTCATAGTACACGACCTGTACAAGGTCGCCTCCTGTTCAGATAGCATCTTGTCCTTGACGTCCACGTTGTCCGGTGGCTCTCGAACCAACGGTGTAGTCACCGCTTTGCTCACTCCCAAAGCCTTTACTACGATGTCCACGTGGCGAGGGTCAGCCTCGTAGGAGATTCCCTCATCAGTCCACTTGAGAATCCTGTTCAAATGGCGCATTTCTTGCACCGTTCCCAGATGTCTAGATTCTGGCGGACCGAAGATTCCACGCTCTTCGATCATCCATGCTGCTTTCAGCTCCTGTGAAAACTTTCGCAGCTCATGGATAGGTCCTAGGGTGACGAAATCGTCTCCGTGCACTGTGCACCTCAAGTTTCTCCTGGCATGGAGAAAGTTGCACGGTGTTCCCAAGGAACAAACGAACCCAAGGGACTCGAGCAGTTTGCGTATCGTCTTCTCCCAGTTGGAAGCGGCATCCCGCGTGCCGTACAGGCTTTTAAGAAGCCTGCCCACTTTGTCTTCCCCAGGTCTTCGCACTTCCCAGGGCAGCTCAACGTGCAACTCCCGAGTTGCATCGGACACGAAGTGTGCCCTTTTCACATCAATGAACATGATGTACCACGGCTCGGTGCGAGGACGAACCGTCCCATCCACACCGAAGAACCGATCCACCATAGCGAGCGTCAGCAGCAATTTGAAGCTACTGAGAGGTGGCATTGCCGCAAAGAAATCGGCTACCAAGGCACCCTTGCTGCCTTTCTTTATCTCCTTGCCGACATACCGCGAACGGTATCGGGGATTGGTGGAATCACCTTTGTTGATGTCGACCCATCTGCCTTTCAGCACTGGCTTGTCACGGGGTCTGTCCACTTCTTGCCACACGCCCATCTTGCGTATGAAGTCAACTTCCTCTTTCCTGGCTTTGACCACCCGGTCGGGGTCTAGTTCTCTCCCGGAAATATCGTCATAGAATTCTTCGAAGTGAGCTTCGAAGAAATCTGGCTCTTCACACACCGGTCGGGTCTCTCCCCGCTCTGTTGCCTCATCGATTATGGCACACACGCACTCATCGTGGTGCATCTCAATCAACTCATTGATCGAGGCTTCTGTGTCGATCACGCGAGTGTCGACCACACGCGCCTCTTGCGACGCTTCAATTTCTTCTTCGCCTCCTCCCTCATGCTTTCTCTTGGAGGGGCTGCCTTCTGTGGCTCGCCTCCTAGTCGGGGACCTCTCTTCGGTCATTGGGCCAGTCTCCACTGACCTCTTGGGACTGCTAACCTCTTCTCCGGCAGCGGCCGAAGCGGCCCTTGCCGTTAGAGCAGGTCCGATCCTTCCAGACTTCGAAGGATCCGATGCTGATGATGCCTCAGCTCCACCAGCTTCCTTCTGGTCGACCACCACGGCTTCCGCTTTCTCAGCCTCCTTTTGCTTCTGCGCTGCAGCTAACTCGGCTTCCGCCGCCTTCAGCAAGGCTCGATCGTATCGTTCCTTCTCCACGGGGTCTTCAGAGACCGCTTTCTCCAGTCGAATCCGGCAACTGGCACTGTGAGCTATTCCGGGCTTCCTCTTACCGACTCGTGCACTGTCGCACGCTGGACATCCGGCTGTGTAGCCGAACTTCTCAAGGTTCTTTTGGGTTATGTACAAGTTCCTACTTGCGGGCTCGAGCCAAAACGGCTCAGGCTCCCGAACGTCGACCTCTGGAACTTCTGCTTTTAAGGACAAGGGTTTGTCCAACCTTTCACTCTCGGAACCGTCCGGGTTCCAGGGTACTCCCCTGATCTTTTTCAACATGGCACCATCCCACCGGGCCAACTCCGGTTTTCTTCGCAGACTAACTACCCAGTGAATTCCTTCGGGGGTAGCCACTGCCTTCTCTGTAGAGTTACGGTTAATCCCCACAAAGATACCTGGCTGCCATCGCGACTCCATTTTTGACCGACCGCGAAGTCGAAACTCCACGAGTTCACCCCAAGAAGGGATTGGTACCCTCCAAGGCTTGCCCTTCATCCTCTGATAGGCAGTCATTCCATCCTTTGGAACTCCCTTTTGGTAGAGAGTAAGTAGAGTGGCTGCATGTTCCACGAGCCAAGTGAGTGCAGGATGGTCAGCTTTCAACTCGACCTCGGCGTGGTACTCCACGAACTCCTTCAGGGTTCTTGCCATTCCTTGGACCATTTGGATGGCCCTCTCCGCTTCTCCGTTGGCCTTTTCGTGAGCTTCCACAGGCGCCTCTTCCAGGACGCACTCCCCTTGGAACCCATTCTTAACTCGTTGCAGCATAGCTTGAACGCTGCTTTCCTGGTCACCTTTCAAGATGACACGCTTGTACCCTGTGGACTCAAGGTCCTTCAACAGCTGGTTGGCTCCGAAGGGATTTTCAACTCCTTTGGAAGGCACAGGGTGTGCCCACACCGACTTGGTCCTTCTGTCCCGGACCACTATCACAGGCAAATCTGCACTTCTTGTGGCCGAATCGCCCATGAAACAGTAATCCACCGATATGGTGGGAATTTGCTGTTCGTCAACACTCCTGCGGGCAAAATGCCCCGAAGAAAGTCCTCTCCCACGGATACAAAACGGGCACCAGTTTCGGAACGGCAGGTGAGTGAGGTTGTGCTCGTCAATCTCACTTTGGCTTGGAAGCATCGGGGTCTTTTGGACACCTGCACTTTGAGCCTCATCTTCGTCCACTTCAAACCCAGGCTCGGTTTCCTCATACTCGCCTGCTGGTTCTCCTTGCTGCGGCGGATGCGATTCATCCTCCATTACACTTGGTGAAGGCACAAGGCTTTCCTCTTCGAATTCTCCTTCCACTGGTGCAATGTCAGAATTTCGGACACGATCGAAACGATCCGGTCCGTGGGATTGGCCAAAATGGCTGGGTGAAACTTTTGCTTCTGATGACTCACTCGGCCTTACGGGATGTCTCCCCGCCGGCCGAAAACCTGCTTGCGCTTAACCCAAACGGGCATCTTGTAGACACCGCCCATGACGATCATCTTCAACTTCCTTCCACTTGCCCGATGCAAGGCAAATGATCCTCCGTTCTCTTCACTGTCGTGGACAATCCTCCATCCGGCCGCAACCATTCGGCTGGTGCTGAACAACGGCCTCTTCAGAGGGGACAGCACCACAGCCTCGACCTTGTTGACCTGCCAATCTTCAAAGCAGATCACAGGGCTGGCGCTTCCCAACGCCGTCACTTCGTGGTTTGAAGCACTGGTATACTGCTTTGGCCCAGAGTGATCACCCACTTGGTAACCTTGGACCAGGGATTCCGGAAAGCAAGTAACAGCAGCTCCACTGTCGACAGTGACGTAGACCTTTTCCCATTCGCCGTCGATTGCCGGCTCGTCCACGCTGAAGATCTCAAGGCTCTCCACGGAGCCCTCGTCACGGTAGTGGCGCACCAAATGATGGGCCTCCTGTTTGGAGAACCCCAAGTCCACCAAGCATTGACTCGGTTTCCATTTCCCCCAAGTCTCATCGTCATCCTCAGAGACGTCGGGTTGTCCAACCACAGGCTCCTCTTCGACAACCACCTCCTCATAGTCGTTGCAGGGCACGTCTCGGCTCCCACATGCGGTGGATGGTGGCTCGTCTCTCTGCTCGTTGCTCGGCATCAAAGATGCAATTTTGGCCTCATGCACCCTGATCTCCTCTTCGATCTCAGCGGCTTCCTGGTCGTCTTCTGCCGATTCAAGATTTTGCGACAGGGTCTTGATCTCCTTCCTGGACCAAGCCACGTCTGCAAGGTTTTCCAGGTTCGGCTCCTCAATCCTGGCCTTCTTTCTGGCCCAGGCCTGGTCTGCGAGCAACTCGAAGTCTGGCTCTCTCTTCGTGGGCCCTTTGTCCGCCGGAAGCGGTCGAAGCGACCCTTTCCGTGCGCGGACATGGGCACCTTCCTTCCATAACTTCGCCCGTTTAGCCTTGCTCCGTTGCCGCAACAGGCTGAGTCTCCAACCCGTTCTCTTGAGGTGTTTGTGCTTGGCCTCGGCTGTGTTGCGCTTCATCCATTGCGGTCTGGACCAATTGCGAACCTTGACTTCTTCCAGAGGCTCATCGTCCTCCTGGCGGAACTCCTTCCGCTCCTTATAGTTCAGAGCCCTCATCACCAAGTCAGGCCGCAAGTCCTCCCGGTCTCCTTCGAACCGACCTCCGTATCGGTCGATCTGGTGTTGGCGGCGAGTGTCCACCCCAGCTTTCCACTCGACATCCTCGGTCGAACCGCGGAACTTGGCGTGCCATTTGTTGTCAAGCTCCTTTCTTTCAAAGGCCCTTTCGGTGGACCCTTCCGCACGGTGCTTTGCCGCTCGCACGCGGCTTTTCCATTTTCGCTTGGACAGCCGCACGCTGTGGCCAGCGCGGATGTCCTGTCGGTACCGTGGATCTTCTTCGAAGCGTGCACTCCGTCCTTTCAGGACCTCAAGCTGTTGCTTTCTTGCCGCGATTTCCTCCTCCAACTTCCGTTGACGATCCTCGTCGGATCCTCCTTTGCTCAGCTCGACTTTGGCTCGGTGAATCTCTCGCGCTTCCACCGACTTCAGGTTGGTAAGGAGAGAGCGGATAAACGCCTCGGTTGACCCAGTTCCTTTTCCTCGGCCTTCACCGGTGGACTTTCCTCTACTGGATTCCTCGTCGGACTTAGGCTTGCTCTCCTCCAGGACGAAAATCGCTTGGATTTCAGCCTCAGCACCCTTTTCTTTGGAGTCCTGCGCCTCTCCTTCCAGAGACTTAATCCCAGGCTTTCCTTTGCCTTTGGAATCTTTACCTTTGTTGGATCCTTTCCAGGACCCTTTGCCTTTGCCGTCAGACTTCTTGCCTTTTCCGTTCTTTCCGCCAGTTCCTTTGCCTTTTCCGGTCCTGTCCCAACAGTCCTTCGCGAGGTGGCCGAAACGGCCACACGCGTGACAAGGCCCAACACTTTGGGAACCGCCTTTGCCTTTCCCAGGCTTGCCTTTGGCTTTTCCTTTGGCCATGGCATCAACATCCATGGCGTCCGGATTGCGCATGGGAACCGACGTCTTGATGTCCAAGTACGTGTCGATCTCAGCCCTCATAGCATCGTAGCTCGCGAGTCTGCTCGATAGCTCCACGTAGGCTCGACAAGTCCTTGGCCTTTGTAGGCCTCAACACTTTTGCCAACAAGTGGTAGTTGGACTGCGCGGTCTGTGGCTCGTACTCTCGACTAAGTCGCCTCCATCCATCAAGTCCACTTTGGGCTAACGAATTGCGTAGGATAGACAGAGTCTCACCCTTGGTCAAGGACACCAAGGCCGTGTGTAGCTGCCGGTTCACTCGAGCAGCATCATCCCATCCTGGCCTGGTGGCCACTTCAAGCTCTATCGCCCGATCATCCACGACTCCGTTGTAGGCTGCCGCCCACTTCAACATCTCATCTGCTTGTTCGTATTGGGATACGAACCACGTCGTGAAACCAAATGACCATAGAGGCCACTTCTGCTTTATTTGCTCTTTTGTCTCGCCTTGGAGCACCTCAGGTTTGCCGACTCCTTTAACATCGACCACTCCTGACTTGTCCTTGGGTGCCAGCTTTGCCAAGGACTCACTCAACACTCTCACGGACTCAGTCGTCTCTTCTCTCTGCACGCCCAAAGCTTGCCTCATCGCTGCGTCTCTGGCCTCCATTGCTTGCTGATTCTGTTGGATCAGCTGCATGGTGTTCTGGTTGGCCACATGCATTTGTTGGAGCATTTGCGCCATCATCACCATGGGGTTTACTGGCCCTGGCGGCTGCTGAGCCATGACTGGCGAGAGTCGAAGCGACCCTTCGCCGTCAGTCCTGCTTGGGGTACGTCAGAGCGACCCTGTTCAGCAGGGCCTTTGGGTACCTCTGTAGGTGGTGACCCACAAAGGCGAACAACCTCTGTAACTTTCGGATCTTCAAGATCCTTTTCACCAAGGCACCCCAGTTCAACACGGGCCTGTTTGCGGTGGCCCTTCGACAGCAGTTGCCCATTCAGGGCTCCGCTACCATGCAGCGGAAAAAGTAGCAACTCACACTTGGGCTCTACCCTTTTATCTACGCTGAACGAAGTCGAAAACGGCTGCAGATGAAACAAGTCAAGGTGAACCAAACTACAACTAACTAGGGGTCAGGTTCCAGCAGCTTATGTACTATTAAAAATGATGATGTTTAACAGGTACGTCAAATAAGTAGAGGGTAATATATATATATAATATATATATAATATATATAAACAACTAAGAAACAGAAATATCACCACCTAGATTGCAAACTGCAATCTCTTTATATATATATATATATATCTTCGGGCAATATCCAACGCGGCCTGTTGTGTGCCCACTTGGGTGTGCAGTTGAAATTGTAAGTGGACATATAACCATATTTATGTGTTCCCCGTTGCCCATTTTATGGTGGTTAAAATCTCAAAGTTATACCCACAATTATACCCATCAACAACATTCAACAACCATAAATAAATATCCATTGACGACCATTAACATTCATAACCATAGTTATACCCATAGTGATGCCCATTTATCCCATGGTTTCGCCCCCATGCCGCACTGCCCGCGGCCCGAGGCGCATGGCAAAGTTCACCCACAAGACAGTGCCATGAGATGTCCGCCCTTACAGCCATTGTTGGCGTCGTTGGGCGTGCAGCCGAAGCCGTTCCAGCCGTTGAAATGGGTAAAGCCCAAGCCCCAGTCCTTGGTGCGAAATGGCCACGAAATATGGCATAGAAGCTGTGGCAAAACGAGATAGTCACTAAGGATGTGTAACAGTGATAAGAAATCAGAGCAATTCAATCATGTATGACTAGTCGTGACTAGTAAGAATAAGATTAACAATCATGAAAAACAATAAGAATACCAACAATTAGAAGGATACCAAACAATGATTGAGAGTTATAGGAAGTCCTTGTAATAATGATCATCATGGTGATAACGTGATAACGATGGTAATGATGATCATGACGATGACGATGACGACGACGACGACGACGACGACGATGCTGCTGATGATGATGGTGATGATGATGATGATGGTGATGGTGATGGCGGTGATGATGATGATGGTGATGATGATGATGATGATGATGGTTATGGTTATGGTGATGATAATGATGATGATGATGATGATCACAAGAACGACAAACTAAATGGATCAAACGTTAGGTTTAGATTCTGCAGGTATAATTCAGCCTGAACGTGTTATTTCACCCCATTGAAGTGATAAGAACCAGTTTTTGGTCACCTAAAATGTGCCCCAGATGCTGCAGGCTTCATCCCAAAGGTGGGGATGTTCACCCAACCACTACCCTCCCCCGTTTGTTCGCATAGATCCTGCCATCAGTCCGGGGTTGGAAGATGAGTTTCCACAAATTCAATTGATTAGCTTCGTGGTCGAAGTGTAAATGCCCAGAGGTTATTCCAGCATCCGAAACCAAACAGTGGTGGAATTGGGAAAACTTTAAGCCACCCAAGAAAACGAGAAGGATGAACAAAAAACGCTACATGCACTAGACTCTATATATATATGTATATGTATATATATACATATATATATGTATATATATATGTATATATATATATATGTATATATATATGTATATATATATGTATATATATATGTATATATATATGTATATATATTATACCCTCTGGTAAACTAACACGACTGTGGAAAATCACTATTTTCAATAGGTAAGTCAACTATAAATGGCCATGTTCAATAGCTATGTTAGTTTACCAGAGGGTAATACTATGCTCTCTTGTATCATAGTCCTCAGCTATGTATTGTAGTATATCAGATCATATTGTATGATATCAAATCATACAATACACGGCACATCAGATTACGATTATCATAATGCATCATGTATCATGTTGGATACCAAAAAAATACATCCAATGGATATATGATATTGTGGATGGAAGAAATCCTGCACCACCTTGGATGGTTGAAACCCTCTAAATAGTGGGATGTTTATCACCTATGGTGCAGGATTTTTTCCATCCACGGTATGAATATCATACTGTAGACCATATTTCTTTGACCCCTGCTCTTCTTTGCCGCTTCCGCCGTTCATGGCGTTTCCGAGGCTCAAAGAAAGCTGCAGCAAGGCAGCCCCAGAAACCACAGAAGCCGTGCACTGGGCCTTGGTGGCTACAAAAAATAAGAAACATATATCATGCATATGAAAGATATGATTGTGATAAGAAATACATGTAAATACTATATGTATCTGGGTAAAGTATAATGTTTCACTAACCTGAATTAAGGTGATGTTGGGATGATTCCCTATACTAAGCATCATTCCAGTGAGATCACAGTGAGGTTCTTAAAATATACCCAGATGTGTGTGTGTGTGTTATACATACCAGTAAATGTATGTACAATGTATATATATTTATATGTATATATTATTATTATTACTATTATTATTATTGTTATTATTATTATTATATATTATATATTATTATTATATATTATATTATATTATATTATATATTATTATTATATATTATATTATATTATATTATATATATGTATATTATATTATATTATATATATTATATTGTGAATTCTGAGGCGACTGACCTGGAATCATTTTACATGCCATTTGGGTAGATGTGTTCTACCGGAGCTGTGCTGGCTCGACACGGGCCTTGGGGTTGTTTGCGCAGAAAAGGATGCGCTGGTGCTTTGCCAACTACAGTGGTAGCGGAGCTGGTAGATCCTGTAGGACCTGTTCAGTTGTGTGAAACATAGCGGTAGCGCAATGCAGAATGTGCCATCGTCGCATGGCTCGTTGGATGGTGATCCTGAAGGTGAACCTAGGGATGAAGGTGTGAAGCTGTCGCCGACCGATGATGGTGATGGCTTCAACAGTGATGAGTTTCGTGAATGGCTAGCACAAAGGAAAACCCGTTCAAGAACGGCAACGCGTCGAAGTCGACGACCGGAGCTGGAGGACGGGAGCGATGGAGATAGAAGTTCTGCTGGCCAGAATAAGGGGTCGGGGACCGGACCACCGCCACCAGAGTGGGACGGTACCTCGATCTCCTTTCAGGATTGGTTGATCAAGGCGAGATTGTGGTTGGCGACAACGAGGGCAAAACCATGCTCCCAAGGCCCGATGATTCTTCAGAGATTGTCTGGTCAGCCCTTCCAGTCGCTGAAGCATTACGCCAGAGATCAAAGATGGTTGAACGATGACAAGAACGGCAAGAAGCTGCTGGATGTGATGGACACGCCGGAGCTCTTCGGTGAGGACAGGGAGGAGGAGCTCCTTGCAGCTCTGGCGAAATTGACGTATCATTTGAAACGTCAACGAGACGAGGGCTGTCGCTCCTTCTTCAACAAGTTCGATGACGCGGTCCGCAAAATCCAGGAGCACAACGTGGACTTGCCGGAGAAATACTTGGGTTTCCTTCTGATCAACTCCTTGAACATCTCGGAGACGGACATCAAGGCCATGTTGGCTTTTACCCAAGGGTCCATCTTAGTGAGAGATGTGAAGGGTTGGTGCAGGAAACATGAGATGAAGCTGCTGGCCAAGGATGTGGGTGTCGATCGCACCAAAACTCCATTGACGTCAAAGGCAAGTGCGGTGATGAGTCTTCAGGCTGACGAAGAGGAGCCTGATGAGGACGAGCTGATGGCGATGGAGGAACTATGGCGAGAACTACATCCTGGAGAAGGTGACGATGAGACTGCGGAGACCTACATGCCGGAGGATGACGACGTGATGGAGGAGCACGAGGCGAAAGAGGTTCTTTCAACGATGCTGACCCAAAAGAAGAAGACGTTCATACAGAGCCTTCGAACCAAGAGAGCGAAGAATCTAGCCCGAGGCTATGGACAATGGAGGAACAATGGATCCTCTGGTCAGAGATCGCAGAGCTCTATGTCAACCAGCGGATATGTCAAGGGTGGCTTCTATCGGATGTCCCTGAGTGAAGCCAAATCGAAGCCCCGATGTGCCAAGTGCCAACAAATTGGCCATTGGCATAAAGACCCAGAGTGCCCGATGAACAAAGGGGGCAACAACCAGACCATAAAGTCCAAGGAGGTGAACCTGCTTGAATCGGAGGAAGTGATCTTCTGCGGACTACTTGATCAAGTTGAAGAATCCACCCGAACCAGCACAACTGAGGGCCCGACTGAGCCGAGTTCTGGTCATTTTGACCGTGCGACGACTGTACAGGACAGTGTGAACACTGACCATGGAATTGGACAGTCGAATTTTGAGCAAGCCTATAAGGGCCGCCGGGTTGATGATTGTTGTGATGTTAATGGTTTTTCTTTTGGGGTTGGGGATCGTGTTGTTTGGAGGAATGAACTTGATTTGTATTGGAATGAAAGTATCAGCAACTGTCATAGTAAACCTGAGATCCCCAAAGATGAGCTATGTGCAACTGTAGACACCGGGTGTCAAAGAATGGCTGTTGGCATCGATACCCTCAAGAAGATGAATGCCTCTTTACCGCCAGGGTTGCAAACACAACTGGTACCTCAAGAACATCGTTTTCGGTCTGTTCATGGAACATCAACCACCAGGTATGTTGCGGTGATCCCAACTAGTCTGGGCAAGCGTGGAAGTTTTCTTCGTCCGGCAGTTTTTGAACATGGTGAATCACGAACGGCACCTTTTCTCATCTCCTTGCCCTTCCTGATCCATTGCCAAGCAATGTTGCACTTAGATCCTAGTAAGGGTTTGAGAATCAACTTCAGAAAACTT